CAGTCTGTTACAATAGGGGCTACAGTCCCAGTGCAGTAAGTAGTTGTGGTTTTTCAGCCTGTGCTGTGTGCACTTCTCTCCCTACACGCACACAGAGAGAAGCTGCAGGTGCAGACAGACAGCTGGAGGTGAGAAAGATATTGAGGGAGCTGTGGGGGCTCTGGGGCCCTTTGAGGGTGTAGTCAAGCACAGGAAACACCTGCACAGACAGAAGGAGGAGATTCACAATCGCATGCGGAGAAGGGGCTGAGAGAAGGAGAGAGACCGCGGCAGGCAGGCAGGGGGAGGGGGGGCGGCTGATTCAGCTCCGCTCCACGTTTTCTTTTGTTTCTTTGCTGGATCTGCACGCTATTCTCTCGGAAGACAGGGCTGCTGTTGGTTTCCACCCACCGTCCTTTCTCTGTGTGTGTGTGCCCTCTCTCCTCCTCCACTCCACCTTTCCTCTCTTCCTTTCTAAAAATACCCCGTGTGCCAAGCCTGCCCTCCCCCTCTCTCCTCCCGCTCCACATGGTGGGGCTCCTTTTTAGAGCTCTTCAAATTCCTGTTCATTTTTCTCTTCCTCTTTATATTCCTGCTCCTGTTCCAGTTGCTATCCCTGCTCCTATCCGTGTCCCTGCCCCTATTCCTCCCGTGCTGCTTGCTTTGGCAAGCCCCATCCCTCTCTTCTTCCCTCTGGAGTGTGTCTTCGGAGCTGTGCCCTGTGCCCCGCGCCCGAGGACCTGGTCCAGCCTGGTCCAGCCTGGACAGGCAGCCATGTCCTGTAGTGGTCTGTCAGCTTGGTTCCCTTCGGCTGTGGTGTCCCATCTAGCAAATGTGGTGCAGTTCTTGAGTGCACTCCTGTGACACAGCGGGTATGTGCAGCGCAGTCTGGAGCAAACAGGAGGAGGAGAGGCAGGGAGGCAGTGGGGGCTGTGGAGCTGTAGAGGCTGTGGGGGCTGTGGAGCTGTAGAGGCAGTGGGGGCTGTGGAGCTGTAGAGGCAGGGAGGCAGTGGGGGCTGTAGAGGCAGGGAGGCAGTGTGGACAGTGTGCACGCAGGCTGACATAATGCTGTGGTGCTTGTGTCTGCTCCATGCTGTGCTCCGTGCTGTGTCGCTGTAGCTCCACTCCATGTTTTGTCAATGGCATCTATGATTCTCCGAGACTCGGAGCTGTGAGTGAGGGGGAGAGGAATGAGAAACATCTCAGATATTTTTCCAGCACTCCGGGTGTCTGGCTGGAAGCCCGGAGACACTACGGAGCACAACACACGGCCCGGGAGAACCGGCCAGAGCCGGGAGAGAGGGAATGGAGAGTGGAGGGGTGGCGCATGGGGAGGGCGGATGAAGAAGTCGCTACAGACACAGAGGAAGCTAGAGATGGGCAGAGGAGGCGGCATTTTTAACAGGGATAGAAGCAGGGACAGACTTTTCGGCTCCACCACTGGGGGGAACTGTGAAGACAGGACAGGAGGCTCCTGGGATAGCGATCATGAGAGGCAGGAAGGGGAGTCGTCTTGCTGCCCACATGGGTCAGGCTGGATCGAAGCTGGAGTGAGAAATACAGGCAGGGAGAGAGACAGATTAGGCCAGCTGGTCCTGAGGCTCCCTGACCCAAGCCACACCCACACCAGCCAGCCTCAGGACAGCACTGCTAGAGCACCACAACACAGACTCAAGCACATCACAGCACAGATCAAACAGCAATATCTCACACACCATAAACTAGAACCCTAAACAGACAGTACACGCTAGCTGAATATTTGACCAACCTACAGTAAGTAATAGGTTACCGCAAACAGAAACAGACCCTGATGAAGTACAGGCTCAGTGACCACAGCCTGGCCAGAGAAACTGGACACAGGCAGACCTGGCTGTCCAGAGAGGACAGGCTCAGTGACCACAGCCTGGCCAGAGAAACTGGACACAGGCAGACCTGGCTGTCCAGAGAGGACAGGCTCAGTGACCACAGTCTGGCCATAGAGACTGGACACAGGCAGACCTGGCTGCCCAGAGAGGACAGACTCAATGACCGCAGCCTGGCCATAGAGACTGGACACAGGCAGACCTGGCTGCCCAGAGAGGACAGGCTGTGCTCCCACTGCCAGTGGGGAGAAACAGAGACCGAGGTGCACTTCCTATTTGTGCTGTTTGGTCACAGGGTGGGGCCAGGCCAGGCCAGGCAGAGCCCATTGTTTTGCAGGGAGAGTGATTTCCTGCCTGAGACAGGAAACGGTGCACTGTGTTGTACTGGCACCCACTGTCACAACACCCTTCCTCTCCCTCCGTCCGTTTCTGCAGCCCCTGGTGGGCATGTCTGCCGTCGTGCACAGCCCACTGGCACAGGCATGCTGTAGATTGACTTTGACCCTCCTACAGGCCTCTCATCTGCACCCTAGCAGAGGCTGTAAGGTTTCTGTGACTTTGTACGGTGTAGCCAAGGACTTTCTGGGGCTGGAGAGCCTGGTGTCGTTCACATTAATGTCCTGCGCTGCCCAGTCAGCGCCGATCTCTCCTTCTCCGCGTCCGAGTCAGAGGGAGTAACCCCTCCCCGTCTCTCCCGCTGGCCCAGGGTCTGGAGCGGGACCAGGCGGACGGCATCCAGCCGCGCCTCCAGCAGCTGAACGCGCTGGGCCAGGGGCTGATCCAGAGCGCCGCCAAGCACAGCGACACGCAGGCCCTGGAGCACGACCTGGACAGCACCAACCTGCGCTGGAACTCACTCAACAAGCGGGTCAGTGCTCCGCGCCGCGGGCGCCGGCAGGGCCGCCGGTCAGCAGGCCCCTGGTCCCCTCCGTTCACTTCCTGTGTGTGTGGTCGCGCTGGCAGGTGGCGGAGCGGATCGCGCAGCTGCAGGAGGCCCTGTTGCATTGTGGGAAGTTCCAGGACGCACTAGAGCCCTTGCTGAGCTGGCTGGGCGACACGGAGGAGCTGATAGCCAATCAGAGGCCGCCGTCCGCAGAATACCGCGTGGTCAAGGCGCAGATACAGGAGCAGAAGGTGAGAGGGCGGGAGAGGGGTGCAGGGGCGCGGGGGGCAGCGGGGCTCAGAGGGACAGGCAGCGCGACAGACAGCCTGTGTGCTCTGTGGGTGCTCCAGCTGCTGCAGCGCCTGCTGGACGACCGCAGAGGGACGGTGGAGATGATCCGGGCTGAAGGGGAGCGCATCGCCGTCACCGCCGAGGCCGCGGACCAAGACAAGATCCGCAGACAGCTGGAGAGTCTGGGGGAGCGGTGGAATGCGCTGTTGGACAAGGCCAGGGCAAGGTGTGTGTGCGGACTGGACACCCCACTCCC